CAAACAGAACATGGGAACACTGAATGGTTTAAAATTTTAAAAAGGTGTGCAACAGGGTTGTATTCTTTCACCATACTTATTCAACCTGCATGCTGAGCAAAGAATCTGAGAAGCTTGGTTATATGAAGAAAAGCGTGGCATCAGGATTGGAAAAAGCTTCATTAACAACCTATGATATACAGATGATACAACCGTGCTTTCTGAAAGTGAAGAGGATTAAATATTAAAATATTTACTGATGAAGATCAAAGACCACAGCTTTCAGTATGGATTGCATCTCAATGTAAAGAAAACAAAAATCCTCACCACTGGACCAGTAAACAACATTCTTATCAACGAAGAAAAGATTGAAGTTGTCAAGGACTTCATTCTTCTTGAATCAACTATCAACATTCATGGAAGCAGCAGTCAAGAAATCAAATGATGTATTGCATTAGGCAAATCTGCTGCACAAGAACAAAGATGTCAGCTTGAGGACTAAGGTGCACCTGACCCAAGCCATGGTATTTTCAATAACCTCATATTCATGTGAAAGCTGGACAGTGAATAAGGATGACCGTAGAAGAATTGATGCCTTTGAGTTATGGTATTGGAGGAGAATATTGAAAGTGCATGGGCTGCCAAAAGAACCAATAGATCTGTTTTGGAAGAAGTGCAGCCAGAGTGCTCCTTGGAGGCCAAGATGGCCAAACTTTGTCTGGCATACTTTGGACATATTGTCAGGAGGGACCAGTCACTGGAGAAGGATATCATGTTTGGTCAGGTTGATGGTCAGAGAAAAAGAGGAAGACCCCCAAGCAAGATGGATTGGCAAAGTGGCAGCATCAATGGGCTTCAGCGTGGCAACAATTGTGAGGTTGACCTAGGATCTGGCAGTGTTTCATTCTGGTGTGCATAGGGTTGCTATGAGTCGGTACCGACTCAATGGCACCTAGCAACAACAACAACATATACAGTATTTACCTCTGCTTCCTTTTAAAAAGTGATGTCTTTCCCTGCCTCCATCATTTTTTACTGACCACCCTCTTATTGAATGTTTGATCAATTTCAGACTGCAGAATTCTTTCATCTCTTCGTCATTAGCTTTACTGGATATAAATTTGAATAATAGTCATATGAACTGGTCTTGCTTCTATGTGTATGAATATTGTACTATCACAGACAGCATTGTACTCAAGATATATCTTGAAAATGTTCTTATTGGTGATGAATGAAGCACCATTCCTCTTCAGTTTGTCATTCCCAGCATAGCAACTCATATAATTGCACGATTCAAACTGGCCAGTACCAATCCACTTCAGCAAACTAATACCTAGGATATCAATCTTTATGTATTCCATTTCATTTTTGATGACTTTCAATTTTCCTAGATTCATACTTCATGCATTCAACATTCTGATTATTAATGAATGTTTGCAGCTGTTTCTTCTCATTTTAAGTCATGTAAGATTTATAAATAATGTACCACAAGCTTTACTCATGCTGATGTATTTGAAGTATGGTGTTGGTGAAAATATTTAAAGAACCATGGACTTCCAGAAGAACAAACAAAGCTGTTTTGGAAGAAGTATAGGCAGAGACTTCCTTAGAAGCAAGGATGGCAAGACTTTGTCTCTCATACTTGGAACATATTATCAGGAAGAACCAGTCCCTGGAAAAAAACATTATGCTTGGCAAAGGGGAGGGTCAGCAAAAAAGAGGAAGACCCTCAACAAAATGGATTGACACAGTGGCAGCAACAATGGGCTCAAATGTAACAATTGGAAGATGGTTCAGAATCAATGCATTGGGATTATGGTGTTGGCAAAGAATATTGACAATACCATGGACTGTATGAAGAACAAACAAATCTATCTTCGAAAAAGTATAGCCAGAGAGCTCCTTTGAAGCAAAGATGGTGAGATTTCATCTCTCCTGCTTTGGACATATTATTGGGAAGGGTCAGTCCCTGGAGAAAGACATCATGATTTGAAAAGTGGAAAGTCAATGAAAAAGAAGATCCCCAATAAAATGCATTGACATGGTTGCAGCAATAATTTACTCAAATGTAACAATGCCTCACGAATAGGTCGTATTTCCTTCTGTTGTACATAAGGTCACTACAAATTGGAACCGACTTGATGGAATCTAACAAAAACAGTGTCCGTGTCATCAAGGCAGACTCTACTTTGAGGAAGCAATTCTTCTCCAGTCACATTTTGAGTGTCTTCCAACTCGAGGAGTTCATCTACTAGCACTTTATTAAACAATGTTTTGCTGCTATCTGTAAGGTTTTCATGGCCACTTTTTTTCTGAAGTAGATCGAGTCCTCATCCATAGTCTGTCTTAGTCTGGAAGTTCCCCCCTGAAACCTGTGTGCCATGTGTAATCTTGCTGGTATTTGAAGTACTGGTGCATAGCTTCCAGAAACACAGCAACACCCAAACTACATGGGGTTATGAAGGTCTTAGCTTCCCAAAGTCCTTGAAGTCTTTTTCCCGTTGTCTGTCTGCCTTGCAGGAAGAGTGTTCTCCTTTGGGGTAAAAGTGGCTTTGATTGAGCTTGGTTACTTCGAGACCAGAATCATCAACACTAACAGGATTTTTTGAAGTAGGGAATCAGGTCAGCCCAGAGGTTAGATAAGCCCTTGACAAGGAGTTCTCTGCTTCCTGTGAATAGTTTGAGGAAAGGGCAGAGAGTTGCAAACCCTTGTCTGGAAGGCCTAGATCCATCACTAGCTGCTCCATTCATCACAGGGTCTGTCCTCCAGGCTCAGCCCCATTCCTGTGGTCTCGTATGATCAACTGGTAACTCACAGAAAAGGTCCAAAGCTATTAAACTTGGGGACACTTACATGAATCCCTTTTTTTATTTTGAGGGAGAAACTAAAGCCAGAGAGAAAAGACTGAAGACTCAAAAAAAAACCAAACTGGTGTTAGAGACAGCTGGTTTTCACAAACTGAGATTGCTAGTGCTAGCGGAGACCTTCCTTCTTGCCATCCAGGTACTCCCAGGCTGAGATCCAGAGCTGGCTGGTGTGGAACAACTACTCCAGGAAAAGAGTTGCCATATTCCCAGGGAGGATGGAGTAGATTTGGAGCAAGGGTTGGGGTTCCCAGATATTCTTTTTAAAACTTTGCTCTCTAATTAGAGACTTGATTGAAAGAGGTGGATTTGCAAGTACATTTAGATTCTTTCTCACTCTCAATAGATCTAAAAATAATTGAAAGCATTCCCCAAAAAAAAAATGTTTGCCTAATATGTTTTTTGTGACTACATGGAGAATGAGCTGACACCTGCCATGCCATACTCAGTATTCAGTTGGCTGGGACACCAAGTCTCTCTCCCTGTGAGCCACATGCCTAACAGGTTTCCTTGAGCTCCCCAAGGTCCTGTGAAGGCAGGACTGGAATGCATGGTAGATTGGATTGGGTTGATATGTGATAGGGACTTTCCACCACATCTTACCTCCATCTCCACTGGCTTCAGTTCTGTTTTAGGGCTGGGTGCTTGCCCTGAATACCACTTCCTGTCATCCTTGTTGTCCACCATGAGTGGTCCATGGTGATGTGGGTGGTCAGGATGGATGTGTAGGCTTCAACCACAGCTGATGACACCTGGAGGACTGGGTTGTTGGAGAAGTCCAGCTTGGACTTCTTAATAGAGAGCTGCTCTATCAGGAGTGATGTGAAGCCAGATCTGGTGTCCTCTCCAAAGCTGTGGGATCCCAGGAAGCTCTGAAGAGCTGTGCACTGGTCATAAGAGTTTGCAGACCTGGTCCAGCACAGGGTCAATGATCTCCTTGCCAATGGTATAGTGACCACTGGCATAGTTATTAGCTACATCTTCTTTCTCCGTGCCAGCTGCTCTGGATGGAAGAGCTGTTGGTATGGACCATTTCAGGTCTCATCAATTTCACTGGGCTCCAAATCCACAAAAATTGCCCAGGGCATATGTTTTCCAGCACCCATTTCACAGAAGAAGGTGGTGAAGGAATAGTCGTCATCAATGGTCTTGTCGCTGGGCATCTGCTCATCAGATTGACTCCCGTGTTCCAGACAATGGAGTGCTCATCAGGCATTGCCCATCTGGACACCTGCCTGCCCCACATAAACTGACATACATTCACCCATGCATCCAAACAGTGTGTCTCATGTAGAGTCAGGGTGACAGGTCTTGGTGAGAATTCCAAGGTGATCTTTTTCACATGATCATTGGGTTGTCCATCATTTTGTATATTGTGGAGTATAGAGATGTATCCTGGGTCTCTCCTTTCTGGGAAACATGAGCCCCCAACTTCTTGCCAGACCCTCTAGACAGGGAAGGTGTCTAATCTCTGGAGGTTGTAACCTCTGGATGGTGTTGTAATCTCTGGAGGTTGATTCCTGGAACCACCCATAGCCCTAGTATCATTCTACCCCTACAATCTATGCAATCCTGGGTGTGGCCCCTCAGTACATCATACTCTGTCTCATTTCCTTGCCTCTCCCAGTTCCCCTCTGACCTACAGGCCAATGGTAGCACATCCACCTTTGCTTTTCACCATCTCTCATAATTAAGACTCACCAGGAGGCAGAAAATTCAAAGATCTGATGACCTAGAACCCACTTCTCTTGGGTTTGGAGGACACAGAACAATTTCTGTTTGTTATGAATTAAATAATTTGTCTTATTTTTAGACTTAAAATCAAAATCAAATTTATTTACATGTCTGTACTCATGACAAATGATTTTGATCCCTGATTCAGGGTTAGAGTGGAGCACAGGTTTTACAGGGAGGATTATTTTGACTGAGGCCTCTGTTCTCTTTTGGTCCTGGGCCCACCGACCATATGAGCTGCTTCTCACTAACTGTATTATATTGGTGTCTTTCCTATTCTTGCCACCTTCTGGGAGAGAAGCCACCAGGGTTGTCAGAGGTGACAAGACTTCAGGTCGGACTTGAATTTCTTGCATCTAGGCTAATTGATGTGCTGATGCATCCACCTATACAAATTAGAGAGGCTCACCCAGGGGCCTTGCATCTGTTGCAAGCAGCAGAAGGGAGGAGAGCTCTTCTTCCCAGTGGGTTGCAGCAGATTACCAGCTGGGGCACAGAGGACCAGCCACTCCACTCTCTTCTGGCCTGATCCTTCTTAACCATCACCTCACTGTCCTGTGGCAGCTATCATGGACTTCTCCTTTATGTACCGCTGGTTCAAAAACTGCAATCTGGTGCGAAACCTCTCAGAGAAGTATGTCTTCATCACTGGCTGTGATTCAGGCTTTGGGAACCTGCTGGCTCGGCAGCTGGTTGATCGGGGCATGCGGGTGCTGGCTGCTTGCTTCACTGAGGAGGGGGCCCAGAAACTTCGGCAGGATACCTCCTACCGTCTGCAGACCACCCTACTAGATGTGACCAAGACGGAGAGCATCCAGGCAGCAGCCCAGTGGGTGAGGAACCAAGTGGGTGAGCAAGGTGGGGCAAATTTCATTCTTTGGCATTCTCCATTTATCCTTCTTTCTCTTCCACAGGCATCTGAGAGTATCCGAGTTCAGCTCGGGTGGGAGAGGCGATGTAGGAAAAGGAACTAGGGGTCTGGCTGAGTCTGAATGGAAATCACTATATGTTTGGTTTGTTCATTTGAAAAAGTGCTTTTACCAAGGAGGTGCTCTTTCCCCAAACTTCAGAGGAATAGAGGAGGGCTGCATCTGGAGGTGGGGAAAGGAAGATGTATTCAGTACTCCCAAATCTCTAAAGACGGACATGCCTACCTGGAATTAATTAAGCAGGCTTAACCATCAGCTCCTATAGAAATATGAGCACATTTCCTGGCAGGATCAGGCACTGGGACATAAGGTTGGATTCCTTAAGTGGGGCATGAAGGCTAGAAAGCAGGGGGCAAAAAAGATCTCCTGTCTTCCTTTCTCAGTGGATGTTGGTTTGTTCTCAGGGCAAGTGTTAAATCAGAGAGGCAGTTCCCATTGGGAAAGGATGTTGTGGGCAGGGCTAGATGAAGACTGTGGGGACCAGCCCTGGGAACTTCCTGTATGCAGGGAGTGGGTGGAGGAACGGGAGGACCCAGGTGGCTCTGTTGCAGAAGCAGCATCCTAAGGGAAGTCCTAAAGAATTAGTCTGGAGGGTCCATCCGCACTGATCGGAGAGTAGAGCCTTGGAGTTCAGGGGGAGCCAGTTAGCAACTCCATGATTTATTTTTTCTTTTTAGTTCTTATCACTACCCAATATACAAAGTATTTTACTTAATTACTGTCTGTTTCCTTTGGTAAAATAAAGCTTCCTAGGGCAGACCTTTTAATCTCTGTCTTTTTTTTTTACTTTTCTTTTTAACTGCTGTATCCTTAGTGTCTCGAACAGTGTCTGATCCCTAGTGTTAAGTTGGTGTAAACTCAGTTAAGTCAGTTTTAACTCATAGAGACCCCGTACAGGGTTTTCAAGACTGTGAGTCATTTGGGGAGTAGAAAGCCTCATCTTTCTCCACTGATACCTAGCAGTTTCTCAGTGACTATTTGTAGAATGAATGAATGAATGACTAACTCAAAAGCTCCCCACATTCAGTGTTGAGCCACTTTTGCTCATTCATTGGGTATATTAGTTGTCTATTGCTGCTGCAACAAATTACCACAAACTTAGTGGCTTAAAGCATCAATCAAGAGTTCCATGAAGGAGCTGACTCCATAAAGAAATCTTTTAGAGTGTATATTTGATGATGATGCTCCAGATGGCAAGGTAAAACTAAACACATGTTCCTTTTCTAAAAGTACCCCAAGTGCATCAACATATGTGTATATGTACAATGCAGTGGTTTCTTGGAGGTGCTAAAATGAAATAGACTCAATATTAAAAGCCAAAATTATTGTTCCTTTAAAGCTATGTTGTTATTAAGTGTCACTGAGTCAGTTCTGACTCCTAGTGACCCTGTATAGGGTTTCCGGGGAGTGACTGGTGATCTTGAACCACCGGCCTGATGGTTCAAACCGACTTTGCAGTCCAGCACATTAACCCACAGTGCCATACCAGGTTAACTAATAAGAGATGCAAAATCATTTTGTATTTAAAACTTGGTAGTAATAAGAACATTTTCCTCCTGACAACATTTTCAACATCTATCATTTCAATATGCAAGTTCCTAACTAAAAACTGGGCTCTGAGTAGCTGAATGTATGGTAGTGATTAATGGAAGAATTCCACTCCCATGCAGCTATCCAGGTTTAATTTCTGGCCAATGCAATTCATGTGCAGCCACCACCCACCTGTCAATGAAAGCTTGTATGTTGCCATGATGCTGAACAAACTTTAGCGGAGCTTCCAGACTAAGATGGACTAGTGAAAAAGGCTTGGTGATCTTCTAAAATCTAATCAATACAAAACCTCTTATGAATCACAATAGTTCAGTTACCTATCAATCATAGGGATGGTGTAGAACCAAGCAGCATTTTTTTTCCCGTTATACATGGGTTTCCATGAGTCAGGAAAGTTGACTTCATTGACTTGATGGCAGCTAACAACAAGAGTAACAAAGTGGCTTAAAACAGCATAGATTTATCATCTTGCAGTTCTCTGAGTGTCAGAAGTCTCGCTGAGTTAAAATCAAAGTGTTGGAAGAGCTGTGTTTGATTTGGGAACTTCTAAAGAATCCTTGCCTGGTCTTTTCTAGTTTCTAGAGGACTCCTAGAAAGGTGTTTATCCTAACATAGGGGAGTGCAGTGGCTACATAAGGTAAGCTCTGGACTGAGCACCACAAAGTCAGCGGTGTGTGTCCACCAGTCACTCTGCAGGAGAAAGATGAGGTTTTCTGTTCCTGCAAACATTTAAAGCCTCGGAAACCCTATAGTGTTTCTGTAAGTTGGAACTGACTCGACAGCACCTAAAATCAACAACAGAAACCTCCTAGATTCATGGTGGTGCAAGTAGTTTGCACTTGACTACTAACCAAAAGTTTGATGGTTTGAACTCATCCATCAGTGCCACAGAAGAAAGCCTAGTGATCTGTTTTCATGAAGATTACAGCCAAGAAAATCCTATGGCACTTAGTTCTACTGAAGAGCACATGGCACATGAGTCTAAATCAAATCAAATCAAGATGGCAATAGGTCTGATTGGGGGCTTAGAGATATCTTGCATTCCTTGGCCCATGACCCCATTCCTTCATTCAGAACCAGCAAGGTCAGGTCAGGTCCTTCTCACTCTGCCATCTCTCTGGTTTTCCCTCTCTGCCTACGTCCTCCTCTTAGAAGGACCCTTGTGGTTGCTTGGATCCATCAGGCTCACTCAGGGTACTTTCCCCGTTTTAAGGTCAGTTGATCAGCAGGCTTCATTCCTTCTGCAATCTTAGGCCCCTTTTGCCACATAAATTTCCCTTTGCCACATATTCTCAGGTTCTAAGGACTAGGCTACGGGCATCCTTGGAGGCCATTTTTCTGCCTACCATACTAGATATTGCATTGGAGTGGGGAGGGGTAGTGTTCTTGCATGCTCCTGAGAGTCCCTGGACATGACAGGTTGGCACAACCCTAGACTGCCTGACATTTTTTTTATTTGTTTGTTTGTTTGCTTTTGCTGAAAAAATTAAAGTCATCTTTGTTCTGCAGCAGGTGGTGCATCCTCTCTTAGAGCAGATTACCAAGGATAATCAGAGGTGTCTCTCCACAGACAGAAATTGAGTTGTGTGGTTTTGAGGAATCGGGGGACCTCATTTTCTCCTCTGTAAAATGAGAGTCTCCTCTAGATGGAATGGTTATAAGTCAGGCTCCTGGAGTCTCTAATTGCAGGAAGGCAGATGAATAGGGTGGTGGCATGGCTGATGTGGGAACCACAGACCTAAGGGAAGGCACAAACGGTAGCTGATGTCTCTATTCACCTGCCCTCAGAAGACAGAGGGAAGTACTCTTGTCAGCAGAGGCCAAGGTGGGAAAGGGAAGGAGCTAAAGCAGTATGGCACAAGAGATCCTGGATGGAAGAAATGGGGGTGGGGGAGCTGCCTGGAGATCCTCTAGAGGAACAAAACTCTTCTTCCTTCCAAGTGGACTTTTACTTAGAAGCTCAATATGTGAAATAATTGGAAGTGGATCTTCTTGCAATCGTCCTCTCCTAGCGGTTTCTGGGATGCAACCTGGAAAGTCCTCAGGCTGACAAAACACAGATGGGAAACAACTGTTGTCATCTAATCCAATGAAGATTGAAGCCCACAGAGGGGAAGTGGTGTGTCCGTAGCTGAAAGTAGCACCAGAACTAGAACTTGGGGCTCTCCAACCCCGAGTCCCTTCAGGGTTGAGTGATAGTACTTAGCATTATTCCCTCCATTTATACCAACTAAATGAGTCCTGGTATGGTGCTGTAGGATAAGCACTGCACTGCTAGCTGCAAGGTTGGTGGTTCAAACCTACCAGCGACTCCTGCCCTATACAGTGCCACTATATGTCGGAACTGACTCGATGGTACGTAGCAATAACAACAACAACAAATTTAAATATGGATTTCCTCGGTAATGCAAATAGTTAACATGCTCGACTGCTAACTGAAAGTCTGGTAGTTTGAGTCCTCTCAGAAGTGCTTGGAAGGAGGGGCTAGCAATCTACTTCTGAAAAACCTACCTATGAAAATCCTATGGAACCGAGTTCTACTCTGACACACAGGGTTACCATGAGTCAGAATCAATTTAACAGCAACTGGTACTGCCAGTTTAAAGATTTCAATTAGAGCTCTTACCACATTTTTCCATAATTGTTTTGCATAAATGTTTTATATATCTATTTATAAATATAATTTCTCTCCTGTCTGGTTTGTGAGTTTCATAAGGGATAGACTCAGTCTTATTAGTTTTATGTCTCCAGCACATTCCCCTGTAATCGGTACAAAGTAGACGCATAAATGTACGAATATGTCAGTGTATGAATAAAACATGGATGGATTTTGGTACAACATGAAATGGGGCTTAAGTGCCATTAACTGAAGCCTAGATTGTAGCTGGCAGGGCCCCAGTTAGAAGGCCGACTTTTTATGACTCAGAAAAAGATGCCCATTCTCGGCAAACTAAGTAGTAAAAGGTATGTCTTCTTCAGTCTGACATAGTCCCCAGGCCTACGTTCCAATTCTGGCTGTCTTAGTTCTTGTATATCTGCTCACAACCATTCTCAGCAACCCCGACCTGGTGGGGAGTATCCATGGTCCTTTCCCATAGACACTGCTGATTTCTGCCCTGATTCTCTCACCCTCCATCATATCCCCAGGTCTCTGGGCCCTGGTGAATAATGCTGGAGTGGGCATACCCAGTGGTCCCAACGAATGGCTGAACAAGGAAGACTTTATGAAGGTGATCAATGTGAACCTGGTGGGACTGATTGACGTGACCCTCCACATGCTGCCTATGATCAAGAAAGCCCGGGGCAGGGTCATCAACATGTCCAGCTCTGGTGGCCGTGTGGCTGTCATTGGTGGTGGCTACTGTGTCTCCAAGTTTGGTGTTGAGGCATTCTCTGACAGCATCAGGTAATTGGGCCCAGGTGCCAGACCACTTTGGGTGGGAATTTCAGGGGGTTCATCACAGGGAGAGAGAGTTGGGGTGATATCATGTGTGTAGAGGGTTTCTAGAGGGAGAAAACTAAAACAATAGCAGGAGGAAGACTAGATCTCAGTGGGCCTTCCTCAAGGACCAATAAAAGAAAGGACAAAGGGAAGTAGTGAGTAGTGATGGAGGTGGTCAGTCTGTCTGTCCCAGAGTGAGTGAAACACTGTTTGAGCCTGTGAGAGTAGGAGGCAGAGTCACCCAGACAGACAGAGGAGAGCTGAGTGAGGGAAAGTACCTGTGGGGAGACCCCCATAGGAAGATATAGGCCTTAGATAGAGCCACAATCTCTTGTGGGGCTGGGAGTGGAATGAGCCTGGTGGGATGTAAGACCTTGGCCTAGATTCTAGTTGTCCATTATATTTGCCTGATGCAAATTGCCCATCCACTGTGGACCAGGCTTGTGAAAGAACCAAGATTCTAAGGCCTTATTTTCAACTAGACAATACTTGACCTGATACAAGAGTAGAGGCGTTCCAGGTTCCTTGGGAGACAGGCTCTTCCAGAAGTGTCCAAAGTAACCCTCCTGAATGAACCTCTGTCATCTTGGGGCCTTATATTGAGTCCAACTCTTCTTTCCTAGGCGTGAGCTCCACTATTTTGGGGTAAAGGTCTGCATCATTGAACCGGGAAACTACAGGACATCCATTCTGGGCAAGGAGGGCATGGAGTCCCGCATGCGAAAGCTGTGGGAGAGGCTGCCTCAGGAGACCCGGGATAGCTATGGAGATGAATACTTCCAAATATGTAAGTTCACCAGGCTGGGGAAGGTTTCTGAGAGGAGCAGGGATACTTTGTGGGTTATGAGCTTACTTTCATGTTACAGTGCATCACCTGTAGGTTCTCTTTCAGTCAGAGATTGAAGGATTACATGGGTAGTGGAAGAGCTGGGGTTTGAGAATAGAGGCCAAGTGGGCAAATGCTTGGAGTGACAGAACCATACCTGTTGGAGGTGGGGAAGATGTTGGATAGATGCTGCCCAATCCTGTTCCCCAAAATTTCATTTGTAAATGAAGCAGGTGAAATACACTGAGATAAATATAGGGTGTGGTGCTGTGGGCTAATGCGTCAGACTGCAAAGTCATTTGAACTGCAAGGTTGGTGGTTCAAGCTCACCAGCAGCTCCTTGGAAACCCTATATAGGGTCACTATGGGTCAGAATCAACTCGACGGCACTTACCAACAACAACATTGAAGCTAGACTACCTGGGTTGGAAATTTGGCACTGACATTTATCAATCAGGAGATACTGGGCATGTTTCCCAGTCTCCCTGTGCTTCAGTTTTCTCCTGTATAAAATGAAGCTAATGGCAATGCTTACTCAGAGTGTTGTTAAGAGCATTAATAGCTGTGAAATGTCTTGTACACACTAAAACCAGTTGCCATCAAGTCAATCCTGATTCAAGATGGTCCCATGTCTGTCAGAGTAGAACTGTGCTCCAAAGGGAAGTAGATCCGCAGATCTTTCTTCCAAGGTGGACTTGAACATCATACATTAACTATTTGCATCCCCCCAAGGATTCCTGCACACACAAAGTGCATGTTAATTAAAAAGGACAAGGATACATGGATATTCAAAAGGGTGGCTCTTCAGACAGCACCCACCTCTCTCTCAGCTGAGGGTTTACTATGTATCTTGGGTGTTTTGGAGGGTGAAGGAGGGGCATCACAGCTGTTTACTATCCCCCAAAAAATTATGTGATGTTCTTCCTAGTCCTTGGGGAACATGAGGAGGAGATGGCCTTAAGATATAGTAGAGGAGGAATTGATCCAAATATCTATTGGGGCACCTTGCAGTAGGGGAGAGAAGGCTCCATACTAAACTCAGACACATCTAAGCTCAAAACTGAGGCAGCTGGTTTCAGAAAGGAATGATTCACTAAGCTGCCTAGCTCTGTCCGCGTGCCTGAAAGGAGAGCAGCCATTCAGAGGTTCCTCTGTAGCTGACCTTGTGTGGGGAGACCTCTGACCTGCCCATAGAAACCAGCTCTGACACAATTAGCTTGCACCACCTTAACAGGCATCTCACTTCTCCAGTTGCTTCTCTGCCACCAGGGCCACCAGCCAAGAAGGTGGGGCAGGCAGTCTGCTGGCTCAGGAGTCTCACCTGTTTCCGTCTCCTCTAGACCTCTGTGGCCTAGTTATAAATTTCCCTAATCTGTATTACTCTTTTCTTTGGTTTCCATAAACATCTCTGAAAGGTAATTTACTACGGTGGTTAAGCTTTGGAACTAGGCTGCCTGAGTACAAATTTCATTCTGCCTGCTTGCCTTGGGCAAGTTGCCATGGAGTCAGTTATTACTCATAGCAACACCATTTCAGCAAAATATGATTGCTCCCTAGACAGGGGCGGATTTCCCAGTAAACAAGGTAAGCACAGGCCTACTTGTGCTTACTTACCTTGCTTACTGGGTACACTGTACTTATCAGGATTGTAAATTTGAAGACACTTTGATTCTGTCAGAAGATACTGTGGGGTTGGGAGAGAGGCAGATGCTAGCTATACCTAGAAGCTGAATCTTTGATGTGAAATTGTTTACTGTTGTTGTTGTTGTTACATACCGTGGAGTCTGTTCTGACTCATAGTGACCCTGCACAGGGTTTCCGAGGCTGTAAATCTTTATGGGAGCAGATAGCTTCATCTTTCTCCCGCGGAGCCACTGGTAGTTTCGAACTGCTAACCTTTCATAACCACAGTAAATAAGCACATGTAAACTCAGACTTTCCTGGTTTATTAGACAATTTGTCCTATTCATAGGGTTTTCAAGGCTGTGACCTTTTCAAAGGCAAGTCTGGGATGACTTTGAGATGTTTCAAACTGCCAATCTTTCAACTTGTAGTCAAACCCTTACCCAGGTGGTCTTCAACAAATTACCTCAGTTTTTTCATTTGTAATACATTGTGAGAACTAAATGAGTTGATATATTTAAGGTGCCTAGAATAACACGTGGTCCATGGTAAGAATGATTTGATTTTAAAGTTTGCTGGCGTACACTAGACTGTGAACCACAGGTTAGCACTTCACACCCACCAACTGCTCCTTGGAAACCCTATACAGGGTTACTATGAGTCGGAACCGACTCAACAGCACTTAACAACAATAGACTGACAAAGAGCACTGGCGGTGCAGTGGGTTAAGTGCTGGCTGCTAGCAGAAAGGGAGAAAGATGCGGCTGTCTGCTTCTATAAAGACTGACATTTTCAGTAACTCTCAAGAGCAGTTCTACCCTGTCCTATAGGCTCACTATGAGAATCAACTCAAGGGCAGTGGGGGATTTTTTTGTTTTGTTTTGGACAAATAAGATGGCCTCTTTTTACCCTTTCCACTGGCAGCTACAAGCTAAAGTTCTTGATTTGCAAAGAGCTCCTTAGATATAATTTTGCAAAATTCAAAGTGAGGAAGTGTTAAAATATAACCAGAAACTCTGGATGTGCTAAATATAATAAGTTGATCAAATTGGTGGCAAGTACAGGTATGTATCACTTAACATTCATTCGTGCAGCATCCGACCGCATCTCAGTCCCTAGTCCCATGAGATTTTTTGTTTTTAAGGGAAAATAGCTCTCCTTTTGTTTATTATTCTGGTGCTATAGAATAAGCACTTGCTAACTACAAAGTCAGCAGTTAAAACCCACCAGACACTCCTTAGAAAGCCTATTTAGGGTTGCTATGAGTCAGAACCTACTCCACAGCAACCAAGCACCCAGAGTGAACAAGCAGGGGGCTCCAGGGCATATCCCAATCTCCATATCACCTCTCCCTTTACCTCCCACTCTCAGAGCAGAGCAGTGACTGAAGATGCTCATGGGTTCCGAGTTCTGGGCAGTGGCATTAGTGGCTGCACATGATCAGAAAGCGGCCACACTAAAACGGCAGTGGCAGCGTTGTTCCCCTCACTACAGGGAACACCCAGTTCCCATGGTCACCTATAGGCATCCCTGGTCTTCCCTCACCACGCCCCATGCCTGCCCAGATGTGCACAAAGTCCTGATCCTTCTTCTAGTGCCATCCCCACCTGGCCCAGCCACATACTGAGCGAGACTGGTCTCCTGTATCCAGTGGATACTGTTCCTGAGCTGTGTCTGACTGGCTTCCATAAGGTTTTAATATAATAGGTCTTTAAAATTATATTATATTTTGGAATTTAAATATGGCAGATTGTAAGGGAACTGCCTGTATATAATAAGGTGTTTGCACAATGTCTGAATTGTATACTGTCCTAGTTCACAGAACGAATTATGGACACTAAGCCACACATACATGTAGTTCACTGACCACCAGTTGCTGTGGAGGTGACGCCGACTCACAGCAACGCCATAGATTGCAGAGTTCAAAGGTGATCCACAGGGTGATCCACAGGGTTTCCAAATTTATGATCTTTTGGGAACGGATTGCCAGGCCTTTCTTCCAAGTTACACCTCTTGGTGGGTTTGAAATACTAACCCTGCAGTTAACAGTCAAGTGCTTAACCATTTGCACCACTCAGGAACTATTTAACTGCCTAGAAGTGTTGATTTTTGTGATGTACCCCCCTGAACATTATACTCAACAGAGTAAAAAAGTCGAGACACAAGAGCCAGGAAGTCATTTATTCATTTAATACATATTTTGCTGAGAACTTGCTATGTGCCAGGCACTGGGCAGAAATGAACACTACAGCCATGGTTAATGCTTGCACATAGCATTGTTGTTACTAAGTGTCATCGAGTCAGTTCTGACTCATAGGGACCCTGTATAGAGTTTCCGAGGAGTAGCTGGTGAACTTGAACCATCAACATTACAGTTCAAATTACTTTGCAGTCCAGCGCATTAACCCACAGTGCCACACCAGGACTCCTGCACATAGGATGGTGGTGGTGGTGGTATGCTGTGGAGTTGGTTCTGACCCATAATGACCCTGTATAGGGTTCCAAGGCTGTAAATCTTTACAAGAGCAGAAACCTCATCTTTCTCCTGCAGAACAGCTGGTAGTTTCAAAATGCTGACCTTGAGATTAGTAGCCCAATTCATAACCACTCTGCTACCAGAACTCCTTGCACATAGCATGTTGCTGTTGTTGTTGTTGTTACTATGTGCCATGGAGTCAGTTCCGACTCATAGCGACCCTGTACAGGGTTTCCGAGACTGTAAATTTTTACAGGCGCAGAAAGCCTTATCTTTCTCTCACGGAACAGCTGATAGTTTCAAACTGCTGACTGTGAGATTAGCAGCCCGATTCATAACCACTACACTCCCAGAGCTCCTTTGCACATAGCATGTTGTTGTTGTTGTTGTTAAGTGCCATCAAGTCGGTTCCGACCCATAGCGACCCTGCATAGGGTTTCCAAGGATAGACTGGTGAGCTTGAACCACCGAGCTTGTAGTCTGTAGCATTAACTCACAGCGCCGCACCAGGACAAATGTTATTATTTGGGGGGAAAGCAGAGGGCTATAAAGAGTGAGGGATTGAGCATTGGGACCCCAGTATAGAGGACTGCATGCAGAGGACTTTTCTGAGTTAACTTTGAGGAAGAATAAGTATTAAGTGACTGGGAAGTGGAAAGGGTGTTCGGAGTTGGTAGGGAAATTTTCCCAAGAAAGAGGACAATTGTGTAAAGACTGTGGGGCAGGAACTCTACTGAGGAACTTTAGTGAAGCCAGGGTGTTAGACCAACCAGTTAACAAACTCTGTATTAAATAAAAATTGCAAGTATGGAGTTCACCCAGAGGCACCTGGAAAAGAAGGAAGAACTGGCAATTCAGTTCCAAAAAATCAGCCATTGAAAACCCTACAGACAGGAAGAAAGTTAAAAGAATGCTATTAACGTTGTTGTTGTTGTTAAGTGCCATGGAGTCAGTTCTGACCCATAGCAACCCTGTATAAGGTTTCTGAGGAATGGCTGGTGAATTTGAACCACCAACCTTGTGATTCAAACGGACCTTGCAGTGCAGTGCGTTAACCCACAGCACCACACCTTTGGGGAGTGTAATAAATACCATGAAACAAAATGTGTAGGAATTGTTAAATGGAAAACCAATTTGCTCTGTAAACTTTTACTCAAATCACAATCAAAAGCTATTTTTCAAAAAAAAGAAGAAAACCCTACGGAACACAGTTGTACTGTGACACACAAGTGGTCATAAGGAGTCAAAATCCATTCAACAGAAACTGGTAAAGAAGTCAAAGGGTAGGGAGCAGTGTGGGGCAGCAGACTCAGCCAGGATAAATTAGAGATGGCAAAGCACTCTGCATATTAAGGATCATTTCTAATTTGTGATTACAAAAGTAAACCTGAATTCTGTAGTGTTCCAGGTAGACATGACCATGGTTTGGTTGAGGATTTGGAAAAAGACTCCAAGTGCATATTAGACTTGCTGATTCTGGAGGTGATGAAAGGGAAACCACTAATGATAAAGGCCACGTTTCTGGCTGGACGCACTTGGTGGATGGAGGTAGCATTCATTTCTCAATGTATGTAAGACTCAGAAAAATATTTGGAGATGCATTCATGGAAGAAAGTAATTATTTAGTGCTTGACATATTAGGATTCTATGCAAAGGAAAAAGTCCTAACTATAACAACTAAAATTTTCTCAATCCAACTCTTTAGTGTTTAAGTGGAAAAAGAATTGCTTGACACACCTGACAAAAGTTGAGGTATATGGGCTTCAGGTACAGCTTGAACCAGTTCACAAATTATATAGTTAGGACCTATGTTACCCTGTTTCTTGACTGTGCTTTCTGTGTGTCACAAGCTCTCTCTTTTTGAGGGACCACATGGTTGTAGTGTTCATTACTTCTCCCCAAGGTGAGGTCTACTAAGAAAAAGGGAGTCATTTTTAGTTGTTGTTGTTGTTAAGTGCTGTCAAGTCGGTTTGTATAGGGTTTCCAAGGAGCAGCTATGCTTTGTATAGGGTTTCCAAGGATCAGCTAGTGGGTTTGAACTACCGACCTTGTGGTTTGCAGTCCAGTGCTGATCTCCTACAGTGCCAACCAGGAGTCCTTTCTAGTAGCTCCCACTAAAGTCCTAAGACTCACTCTGACTCTGTGGATCTCTGGTGACTGGATTGACAGAAACAGAGGGAGTAGACATTAAGGAGGAAACTTATACCTAAATTGTTGTTGTTGTTGTAACGTGCCATCAAGTCAGTACCGACCCATAGCAACCTTATGTACAGCAAAACGAAACACTGCCCAATCCTGGACCAACCTCACTACTGTTACCACGCTTGAGTCCATCGATGCTGCCACTTGGCCAATCCATCATGTTGGGGGGTCTTCTTCTTTTTCTCTGACCCTCCACCTTACCAAACATGATATCCTTCTCCAGTGACTGGTCCCTCCTGACAATATGTCCAAAGTATATATCTGAGTAGGATCCCCTAAAACTCTCCCTTAGCAAAGTCATTGTGAATTAAAGATTCAGCCAGTGTTTGGAAACCTCACAAAGCCATTTTAGTTTATAGTCCTTCTTGGGGAGGAGCTAGATCAGAAGTCCAGGACACATTCCTGGGAAAGGAGAGAACAGAAACACAGATTTTGGGTCCATATGAAGTATCAAACCCTGGTCCCTGATACTTCATAGATTTTTATCTTGCTTAAGGTGGCCTGGTGTAGTGCTGTGGGTTAATGCACTGGACTGCAAAGTCAGTTTGAACCGCAAGGTTGGCGGCTCAAGCTCACCAGTCACTCCTCGGAAACCCTATACAGAGTCTTCATGGGTTGGAACCAACTTGATGGCACTTAACAACAACAACAAAATCTTGCTTAAATTTCACAATTACAAAAATGCATTCCTAGGTGACTGAATCCGAAGCTCATGCTCTTCCTCACTATCTAAGAGAGTGGCAGGGGCTAGTCTCCATCCCCACACAGTGACTAGCATAATGTCCAACACAAAATAGGAGCTCAATCAAGAGCTGAGTGAATAAGGAAAGAATGTGGCCTCATCCTACTGCCTGTGTCTGGGTGTCTTCTTTCACCCTGCTGCCTAAATAGATCCTCCCCACTTGTCAGAGTCCAGTTCTAAAAACATCTATTCAGGTCAGTTTGCCTGAACCTCATCAGCCCACAGAGTCTCCCTGGCTCTGACCATCTTGAACCATCCCTTGGACACTCAGTTCCTGCCTCAGACCCTCTAGTGGTGATCTGTATCAGGCCCAAGGCTAAAGGGCAGGCTGGGTGTTGGCTTCCTATGACACTAATGATCTTGGGACAACCTGGCTTTAAAGTTAGTCTGGTTCTTTGGGGGTTACAAGAAGTAGTTTATCATTTTCACCACAATGGTTTCCTCTTCAGGAAACCAAAAGGGAAGTCTTCAGATTCTGGGATGAAGGGTCCTTGTACAACATTATCCCTTGCCTCACTTAAAAGTGTCTCCTTTCCCCAACCACTCAGCAGTGTCCTGACCCCAGTGGTGTCTTCAGATATTCTCAACTATGTGATGAATTTCCAGCTTTCCTGGGCCACACTACAAAATCAGGGCAGCTTTTGTTCCCCCTTTGTTTTTAAATCATAATCCTATATCCTGCAAGTCAGACTCTCAGGCACCGTACTCCAAGACCTTGGAATTTTCATTCAAGTATGAATCCCACAGACTAGCCCATAGGGCAAGGGTGCAGACTGGTTCTTTTACAATGCACATCATGACCAGTGTCCTATTTAGATTGTGAGCTTTGGCAAACTTGGACCACTTGAGTGAGTACCCTGCATTCAACCCCACCCCCCATGTGCACAATGCAAAAAAATAACTCCTCACAGTGGTTATTGTTGTTGTTAAATGCTGTCGAGTCAGTTCCAACCCATAGTGACCCTGTATAGGGTTTCCAAGGAGATGCTGATGAGATTGAACCACCAACCTTGCAGTTGAAATGGCTTTGCAGTCTGGTGCATTAGCCCACAGCACCACACTAGTGCTTTACAAAGTGCCTGTCTGTGCTTTAGAGCATTGGAATCCCACAATGGTCTTACAACCAAAGCAGGGACAATATTATTATTACTTTATAGCATTTTTTCTAGCATGCTTTTGTAGAACATTTGGATGCTCTAAGAAGTACATAGGGGGAAAGGGTGTGCCGCTATAGGGTAAGTGCTGGACTTCAAACCACAAGGTTGGTGGTTCAAACCTACCAGCTACTCCTCAGAAACCCTATAGATGGTTACTCTGAGTCGGAACTCACACAACAACACTTAACTACAACAAAATAAGTAACAGAAATCCCATCAGTCAAACAACAGTTTTATTTATTTTATTTTCATTTTTTCTATGTGCTTATGAGCACATGTTTTCTATTGTTCTCCCCCACCATCAATCCTGCTATTAATCATCTTCATTATTCTCCAAGACAGGTAGCATTATTCCCATTTTACCAATCCAGTGTCAAGCTATGAGTCAGAACCAACTCGACAGCACTTAACAACAACAACAACTGATGTGAAAGTTCAAGCTCCTGATCATACAACTAACAAGTGGCAAAAGTGGACACTCATCGAATGCAATAGCAGGAATTCAATGTGCAGTTGTTGAATGCAGGGAAAGAGTTAAGATTCCTTAGGGATGTGTATAAGGGTCAGCCTGAAGGGTGAGGCAGCTCTGATCATAGATCCGACGGAACTCAGTGCGATGAAGAATAATGAAGTTTTTTTGTTTGTTTTTGTTTGTTTGTTTGTTTCCCCTGTGCCTTCAAACAGATACTGAAAACTTAAAAAACATAATGCAGTTGGCTGACCCAAAGATCAGCGATGTCACTAATAGCATGGAGCATGCTGTTGTTTCCCGGAGCCCTCGCGTCCGCTACAATCCTGGCCTGGATGCCAAACTCCTCTACCTCCCCCTGGCTAAGTTTCCCACCCCTGTGACAGATTTTATTCTGAGCCGGTACCTTCCACGGCCAGCTGACAGTGTCTGAGCCAGGAAGGCTGCAGGGTTGTCAGTGAGAAATAAGGAGAAGGGACTGTGGCTCACACAGGATAGCATCAGATGTCCTGGCTGTAAAAGACACTTTGCTCTACTGACACCAGCTGCCTGGGAATTTATGGATAACTTTTAACAGAAGACAAGTGCCTCTTCCCACCTGCTGGGGCCCCCACAAAGACTTGAAGTGGCCTTTTCAGGTTCAGGGGCCTACAAGGATGGCATCATCCAGTAAGGAAATACCTTTTACTGGACTGGAAAAGCCAAGGAGAGAACAACCAGCTTCTACTGAATCAAGAATCCCTCATTAGTTATTACCCCCACTGGAAAATAATGTGAGATTCTCTAATTCCCAGAAGAATCTCAACTACCTTCCTATTGGGTCTTTAATTTTACCTTTAAATTTACCTCACTCATACAGCCCATTAATTTGAAATATGTACTAGCATAGACAAGGAAGGCAAGATTATATTAAACAAAGATTTAAATTGTTTTCTCTCTTTTTTATATTTCTCTACTCATAGGTGATTGGGATTTACATTAAATAACATTTTTAATTTAATCATTATTGATTAATCTTCAAATATTGAATGGCTACTACTTACCAAGGAGCCCTGGTGGCATAGTAGGTTGCTAGCCACAAGGTCTGCAGTTCCAGTTGTCTGCAGCCTCAAAAATGCTATGTGGGGTTGCTATAAGTCAGGACCGACTTGATGACAGCACACACCCACTGCCACTATATACCAAGCACTGTGTAGGTTCCTGAGGATAAAATATCATGGTCTTGATTTTTTTTACTGTTAGTTTATCGCTTTCTGTTTTTTGAGCACAATGTTTAATAACAGAACAAACACTGATAGAAGGAATAGAAAGAAATCATATTTTTATTGCTGTGAGGGACCCTATTATTGGTAACTCCTGTCAAGTCTCCCCCAACTCATGAACAATGGAACAAAATGTTGTCTGGTCATGCACCATCTCTATGATGGGCTGGGGATCAAACTGTTTTCATTGACTAATTTTAAGAAGTAGACTTCCAGGCCTTTCGTCCTCATCTTAGTCTAGAAATTCCGCTGAAACCTGCTCAGCACCATAGCAACACACAAGCCTCCACTGACAAGGTGGTGGATGTATATGAGGCGTGTTGTTGTTGTTTTTGTTTGCTGTCGAGTAGGCTCTGACCCACAGCAACCCTGAATCGGGTTTCTGAGGAGCAGCTGGTGAACTTGAACCACTGACCTTGCAGTTCAAAGAGCATTGCAGTCTGACGCATTAACTCACAGCGCCACACCAGAACTCCACATTGAGGCATTGTTTGTTATTGTTGTTAAGTACCGTGGAATCGGTTCCAACTCATAGTAACCCTGCACAGGGTTTCCGAGGCTGCAAATCTTTACGGGAGCATAACGCCTCATCTTTCTCCCGCGGAACTGCTGGTAGTTTCAAACTGCTGACCTTGAGGTTGGCAACCCGACTCTGCCAGGAATTGAACTGTCCTGGTCGTGTTCATAGAAGGCAAGAATTCTATCACTGAGGTCATCTAACACCAGGAACTCCCAAATTTAGCTTTATATCATAATCACCTAGATAATTAAAAATACAGATTCCTGGACCCCATGTCAGAAAATCTGATTCACTAGG